AGAGGAGGGGGGGGGGTCTTTTTCAAAATTTATAAAAAATTCCAGTTTTGAATATGGTATTTTAAACTCCTAGTCACCTGCCTAGTTCTAAAATCGATCTATTTAATATCCCACGAGGATCTCAACGTGATTTAAATTAAGGCATGCACATCACTCAACGTGACTAAAGAGATAACACGATGGAAAGCGTGATCATATGCGGGCCGACGTGACAGTAACCTTTTTGCAATGCATGACACCAATGTTTGAAACGCATGTGAGACGCACGTTTTATATCCGGACTTGTCAATAACAGGGACAACATCAGACCGCAATTATCCCGGTGATCGATGTCTTGCCGTAACTCCATACTGGTTCAAATTTGTTCAAAAGGAAGTTCAAATTGATGAACACCATACGACATTACAGCATACGACGTACAGCATACGACATACAGCATATGACATACAACATACGAAAAACATCATATGACATTAGAGACCGACCGAATATCGGCTTCGGTTTTGGCGCCGAAAGTGGCCATTTTATCACTTTCGGCCAATTTTCGGTTTCGGCCGAAACAGAAAGCTAATTTTCGGCTTAATTTTGGTTTCGGCCGAACGTGACTGAGGTTTTCGGTCATCTAGTTCTCAGCAAAAGCGATATTTAACAACAAACTAAGCGATATTTAAGAACAAACTAAACGATCTTTAAGAACAAATTAAGTGATTTTTAAGAACAAACTAAACGATCTTTAAAAATAAATAAAGTGATCTTTAAAAACACATAAAGCGATCTTTAAGAAAAAATTTAATGATCTTTGAGAACAAACTAAACGAAATTTAAAAACAAACTAAGCCACATTTATGAACAAACTGAACGATCTTTAAAACAGACTAAGCGATCTTTAAGAACAATCAAAGCGATCTTTAATAACAAACCAAACGATTTTAAAGAACAAACTAAACGATTTTTAAGACCGAACTAAATGATCTTTAAGAACAAAACAAATTATCTTTAATAGTAAACTAAATGATTTATAAGAATAAACTAAGCGATCTTTAACAGAAAAATAAATGTTCTTTAGGAACAAACTAAAAGATCTTTAAGAACAAACTAATCGATCTTAAGGAACAAAATCAATTAAAGAACAAACAAAGTGCTCTTTATGAAAAAACTAAGCAATCTTTAATAACAAACTAAGCGCTCTTTATGAACAAACTAAACGATCTATACAAACAAACTCAATGATCTTTAACAACAAACGAATGATCTTTAAATGGGGATGACACCTCACAGAGGATGACACCTTAAATGGGGATGACACTCTCATAGGTTGCTGACACCTCACAGAGAATGACACCCTTTAATGGGGATGACACTCTCATAGGTTGATGCCATCTCACAAAGGATGACACCCTTTAATGGGGATGACACCCTCATAGGTTGATGACACCTCTCAGAGGATGACACCCTTTAATGGGGATGACACCCTCGTAGGTTAATGACACCTCTCAGAGGATGACACCCTTTAATGGGGATGACACCCTCGTAGGTTGATGACACCTCAAATAGGATGACACCCTTACAAGGGATTGAAAGCCTAACAGGGACAGGACACCACAGGACACCACAGGACACATGGTACACTTGACAGGGCTCGATCAAGTCGCTTTGCAACTCATTTAAAATATAAGAGCAGTGATCCACCTGTGATCAGCTTAGGTTGCTTTAAGAGCAGTGTGCCACCTATGAGCAGTGTAGGTTGCTTTAAGAGCAGTGTGCCACCTGTGAGCAGCGTAGGTTGCTATAAGAGCAGTGTGCCACCTGTGAGCAGCGTAGGTTGCTATAAGAGCAGTGTGCCACCTGTGAGCAGTGTAGGTTGCTATAAGAGCAGTGTGCCACCTGTGAGCAGCGTAGGTTGCTATAAGAGCAGTGTGCCACCTGTGAGCAGCGTAGGTTGCTATAAGAGCAGTGTGCCACCTATGAGCAGTGTAGGTTGCTATAAGAGCAGTGTGCCACCTATGAGCAGTGTAGGTTGCTATAAGAGCAGTGTGCCACCTGTGAGCAGCGTAGGTTGCTATAAGAGCAGTGTGCCACCTGTGAGCAGCGTAGGTTGCTATAAGAGCAGTGTGCCAGAAAAGCAGGCCGACTTGGAGGAAGTCCATGGAGAACTCTGAATGGTCGGACATCATGAGTAACACCACCATGTTGATTGTGTTCGCTACGTCACTTGCCAGTTGCATTGTTGCTAGGAAAACATATTTCGTTAAATAGGTTACACTCCAAATATAATCAATTTCTACCTATGGAGCCTCGATTATCCAAAACGTTTCACTATTTTACCTATTTGGGGTAATTTACCCTATTTCTCTGACAACTTGATTACACTGACATTTTTACACCATGATTAATAATTTTCAAAGGGTTTTACTTATAATCATTGACAATTTATACATTTTACGCTTTATAATTAATGATATTTCCAGAGGTTAATGGGGCCGTCTTTGGCCCACGGGCCGTATTTTTCCCAACCCTGATATATAACAACATTTGCATGTTTAACCTTGACCAAGATAATTGATAACATCTCTCGAATCTAGCAGACCATAGTGTTGTCGAGAATTATACAGTGGCATAAATATGGTTTAAGTGTGACAGGGGCAAACACTCAAATAGTTCCTTTATAAAACAATTATTTCTAGGTTATACCCCTTTACATAAGTTTAAAATGGGGGGAAAAAATCGCTGCTTTTTTCACCATCTACATTGGCATTCGTGGTACGTGTCCTGCTTGCTTCACCCTGGTCAGGTGACTCGTTTTATGGCGTTTGTACAGTCTTGTCTGGTCTAGTGCCCTGTCTGGTCAAGTGCCCTCCTTGCCTCACCCTGGTCAAGTGACTCGTTTTATGGCGTTTGTACAGTCATGTCTGGTCTAGTGCCCTGTCTGGTCTAGTGCCCTCCTTGCCTCACCCTGGTGAAGTGACTCGTTTTATGGCGTTTGTACAGTCATGTCTGGTCTAGTGCCCTGTCTGGTCAAGTGCCCTCCTTGCCTCACCCTGGTGAAGTGACTCGTTTTATGGCGTTTGTACAGTCATGTCTGGTCTAGTGCCCTGTCTGGTCTAGTGCCCTGTCTCAGATGGACCACAATTAAACCCCTTCTGAAACCATATGTCTGTACGATTAAATACGAATGACCAACCCCAGCAGCGTAGTAAACCTATAACAAGTCAAGCGTGTCGGCAAAACCCCTGGTTGGCAGCGGACATAAAAAGTGCAAATGTTCAATGAAAAGTCGCATTAGGACGAACTGATCCAAATGAATACTAAATTTTTAACATTGGTAGATCCAATACAGTAATGATGCTATTCAAATTTTTTTTTGTTTTAAATCCCCAAACCTTCGATCATTCCCTATTGAATGTTTCAATGGTTCGAACTGATCCAAATGAATACTAAATTTTTAACATTGGTAGATCCAATACAGTAATGATGCTATTCAAATTTTTTTTTGTTTTAAAT